GTGAACATTTTCTAAACACCCAAAAGCAGGACGTTTATATAAACGTAAACTAAATTTTACCAAAAAAATAAGTTGAGGATTTCCCGAGTGCATACATTCCACTATTATGAACAGACGCAATCCCACACGTAACTCGTGTGTCCGTCCCTCCGCACCTCCGACAAAGCTCGATTGGCTACGTACGATGCGAAAGAAGTTCCACGTGCACACACATTTATATTGCCAATTCACCTCGCCGATCAACGTCAACAAATAACTCGCCCATTGCCCGCGTCTACAGATGAAGCTCCTCCTGACCGCTGCCGCTGCTACTGCTGCTGCACATCACAAGGGGGCCCGGACAGGCGGGCTCTATCGGTGCGTCGTCAATACCTTGGTGCAGATATGCCTGTGCCTTCAAATTGTTGCCGCCGCTGCTGCTGCTGTTGTTTGTGTTCCTGTTGTAATTATCGTTGTTGTAGTCGCTGCTGCTGCTGTTTGTGTTTCTGTTGTAATTATCGTTGTTGTAGTCGCCGCTGCTGCTGCTGCTGCTGTTTGTGTTCCTGTTGTAATTTTCGTTGTTGTAGTCGCCGCTGCTGCTGCTGCTGTTTGTGTTGCTGTTGTAATTATCGTTGTTGTAGTCGCTGCTGCTGCTGCTGTTGTTGTTGGAGAGCACGCACATTTCACGAAGCACCTCGGTGCGATGTGTTGCAGCAGACTCGCCCGCAGCAGAAACTCAGAAACGTTGTCCCTCTGTGTGTGTGTGTCTGTGTATGTGTCTGTGTGTGAGAGAGAGCGCAAAGAAGAAAGCGTGGAAGAGTTAAAAGGCAGTTTTCTGGCTATTCAATCGTGGGGGAGGGGAGGGGTTATTGTTGTAAGTTACAGTGTTTTGTCCTCTGACTTTTGAGCAGAATTCTTTTTTTTATAAAAAAAAAAAAGTCGGTCACGCAGACGCCGTGGGTTTTGGCTGTGCAGATCTCTCTCTCGCTCGCTTTGTTAAGGTTCGTTATAGGTCTATTATCGTAGCCAAAAAAGCCTCCCCGCTCAATTCAACGTACGTTACATTATTCTCAAGCAAACAACAGTGAACCATTCTGGTTAGATTGAAGAAGAAAAAACCTGCTTCTTGATGTGGGAGTCAGTCCAAGAAGTCCACTTCATACCCAGCGTAGAGCTGCACTGCTAGTTGCTCCTCGTGTAACCACCGATCCTGCCCTGTGTATTTGTTAGGCACAACACGTGACACAACAGGCGGCGTGACCATCAATCATCATCATCATCATCAGGACATGGCCAATGCGCTGCTGGATGAAAGCCGCCGCCTCTCACGAAGCTGCCGCAGTGAATAATGATCTTTCTATCTATCCAAGGCTCGCCGCGCGACCACGTGGGGGTTTTGCTGAGCAATGGTCCACGTTGCAAAGAGTTCATTTCACTTTCACAAATGTAGCCTGACGGGTGTTCTTAACGCGAGAGAGCAGTGACGTTGAGTGGTTCTCAAACTGGGTTACTGAATCCGAATTCACGATTTCCAATCCCGACCACGGCTATCACGAGTGGCGAGTGCTAGCTTCGCCACGTAGCAAGTCATTACAAGAGCGGCCCTTCATCAATCCGTACTGACCACGGTGGTGAACTGTGGTTAAATAACTCAAACGATGCAACACGGTAATGGGACGCCTTTCATCCAACAGTGGATTTACGCAGAGCCGCACATCATTATCTGGCTCGTAATTATTTTTGCGAGGATGAGCTAAACATCCTGCTGATGGTGATATGTGTGGTCAGCGGTTCCTAACACGCGTCATGCACTTTAAGCCGAGGTAGTCAGGAGTAAAAACAACACATCAGCAGATTATTGAATCCATCTGTGCGGAGATGTGAGTGTTAGTCCCTCGTATGTGAATGTTGGGCTTTATCCTGGTATTCCGATTATCTCGCACACTGAGGGCAAACGCGTTGCATTTAAGTTGAGCAACCATCCCCAATGCGGGACCCTCCTGAACATGAGTTGTTTGAGATTCAGTGAGACTTTCACTGGGTACCACGCAGACGCGAGCGTGTGTAATACAAAGCCGAGTTGGCATAACCCGCATCAAGTATGAACTGGCGCTATCGAGTTACGGTCACGTCTATTGCCCGCAGTTGACAGTGCAGCAGTGGCCAAATCCACTGCTGCTGCTGATGATGATGAATTGAAGGGGCGTTTATTTTGCATTATTACGGTGATCCAAGTGTTAAAAAGTCAATCGAGCTCCCACCTCTTCCACTTCACTGCACCGTGCGCTTTCAAATGCGCTTCTGCGACCGTCTGGAACGCTCTTGCTTCCGATATTAGGAAGCCACTGGAGCTGTACACTTTTAAATCAACTCGATTGAGAACTCGTTTCTTCAAAACTAATTTTTATGTTTTGTTGTTCTTCCCCCGCACCTCCGATTAGCATGGTTGGCTACGTACGGTACGATAGAAGTTCAACATACATACGCAAATGCTAACTTGACTAAAGTTTAACTCGAAACGCTATGCTGGACCAGATGCGCACAGATGAAATTCATTTTGTTTTTGCAAAAGGTTGACCTGGGTTACTGTTAAATAAATAAATAAACAAAGCGTCGGTCTCTCCACATGAAATATTGAGAACGCTTTAATCCATTAGCACATCGATGATGGATAGATAAATAGTGATAGGCTGGTCTTAGACCGTGGGGACGATAGCCACGTTACTTTGCCTGCCTGCGAATGCGAATGGCTTCCGATGGCCTTTTTTGATCATTTGTCCGCATTGGTAATTCCAGAGGATATCACGATCGCCTGTTGTCAGCGGCTGTGTCAGCAATCGATCGGTTGCTTTCCTGCAAACTGGCTGAGTGGCTGTCTGCATATCGCTACTAGCTCGCACACGTGGCGGAAACTACCACGCAAACTGTCCTGTGCGCTGAATAGAATCCGCCTATATCAAGGTGCCTGTTCTTATCTCCTCCGTAAGCAGAAACACAAAAACTATTATTTTACCAGGTAAGGCTCGCTGAGCTATATACACATTCTTTTCAGAGGCAACCTGCCCACAAACGATAGTCCAATGAATTGGCTTATCATGTGCAAAGTCATAGCAGTCAAATAGTCTAAACACATGTTTGCAAATGTATAGAACATGCAAACTCCAAACGTACATGTGACAACGGTAGGGGTCGAACCCACGACCTCCTTGTATACCAGGCGAGGTAGTTAACATCTCCTCGCCACCGCGGTTAAAACCAGCCCTGTACTCTCGAAACAAACAACGGTCCACCTCGGACCGTCCCCTGCAGACGTCCGCTCTCTACCCCAGTGCTCCTCCTTTACACAGGCACAGCCAACGATTCCTCTGCTTTCGTGTGGCGTTTTGAAAAACAGCAGCAGACTACAATTGTTCGTTGAATTTTGAGTGAGCCATTCCTGCACGCCATCCGGGGGTGGTAGCCGAGTGGCGTGGTAACGCTTGTTCCACCATGGACAAACTTGCTGTATTGGGGGCGCGGAGTGGAATAGTTCGCTTGTTCCACCATGGACACGCGTGCTGTATTGGGGCAGTCGTCAGAGATGTTCGCCCGATGGTTTGCACCTCACCGCAATGGCAGTTTGGTGGAGTCTCTGGTCCTTCCATTAACGGAGGAAACATCGACACCTCATTTCGTGTGGTGTGGTTCACCTCTCGCTGTGGCTGTGGCTACTGGTCACGTGCGTACTTCTACCGTCGATCCATAACTTAGCCATCACAAAGTACACATTCGCGGTGTATCTGCGTATGTATGTGTAATTGGTAAGTGGTAGTGTAGCGGTTAGCGCGCTGCGCTATGAACCCGGCGACCCGGGTTCGATTCCCGCTCACGGCCTACACCAGTGACGACTATAATTATCTGAACCGGTCTTGGACCTCCCCTAGGTCGACTCAGCCTAAAATGAGCACCTGGTGCGGTGTGTAGTAAACATCGCCACTGGGGAGACAAAGGCGGTCGAGCGTGGTGCTGGCCACCCACCCCCTCATGTACCGTTCCGGCCTTCATAGGTGCTCGCTAACAGCACTTGCCTCTACAGTATGTTAAGGCTATACGGGGGTCTTTGTAATTGCTAGCGGTAGTATTTTAGTGGTTAGGGTTCTGCGTTACGAACCCGGCGAGCCGAGTTCGATTTCCGCTCACGCCCACCAACACCAGTGACGATTATCTGAGCCGGTCCTGCGCCTCTCCTCGGTCGACTTAGTCTGGAATGAGTGTGTTAGATACAACCCGCTATGGAGATAAAGTCGCCCGGGTGTAGGGTGCTGGCCATCCATCCCCCTCGTGAGCCGTGCCGGCTTTCATAGGCGCTCGCGAACAGCGCTTGCTCCAAAAGTATGTTAAGGTTATACGGGGGATCTTTGTTTGCGTTTGAGTAACTGCTAGCGGGCTTTGCCTGTTTTCTGTGCGTCCAACTCTATCCAGGGAAGCACTTGGTTCACCGACGATGATCATCGTTTTAATAATTACCAAGAGTTAAACTAATCAAACTCGGTCTGTAGGACCAAAAGGCGAAAATTGTCTATTGGAATTGTTTAAATTATAATATAATCAATGTCTCGACTATGATTGTGAAAAACTTCGGGTTACTTTCCCTTCTATATATTTTTAAAAACTAGAATTTGCATCACTCACCAATTCGCTCGCTCAAGCTCACGATCGCCCATAGCCCTATATTGTACATGCCACGCTGGTGAACGGTGGTGCAGCGGTTGGCGCAATTGTGCTACGCAACGCGACTGACACCCACTGAGTTCGACACCCGGCCAAGGCGAAGCGACCAGCGATATCCGAGCGGCTCATGAGCCTCCCTCCCCTTTGACGAACCCGGACCCGACCAGCCTAGTCGAAGTGCTGCAATGTAAAGTCAAATAATCCACATGGTCGACACGGAAGCGGTAAGGCCTTCATTCAACAGTGGATGGACACGTTACATGAATGATGATGACGATGGTGAATGAGAGTCACTGCGTTGTCATGCAAAACGCAATACTCAGTCGGTGTCGCGTGCTGCCTTGATTTGCTTTAATAGGGCAGCGACTGACGAAGCAGATCTGCCTTGGCACGTGAGAACGGGAAGAGATACGCGGGGGTCATGCCCGTGGCTAGCAGCGCGCGACGCATTCACCGAAGGCGATAACAGTGGTTCAGATCATCGCGGCAATGTTTGCTAAACACGTTCGTTTTAGGCAGCGAGGCAAAACGGCTTGGACACGTTTAAAGGAATCCCTTAATCGGTTAAGCCAACATCTGTTTAATGCGGCGCTTCACTCGAAGTCTTGCAAGCCTTTAAACACTGCGTTGCTTGTTCCTCTCTAAAAGGGTGCTTACAAAATACAACTCGTCAACAACAAATGAATTCGGGCCAGGTAGCTTTACAGTGTTTTCATCTTTAATGCAAGTTTGTCGGTTGAACAATAAATAAATACATTATATAAAAAAAATACGATATGTTAATTTTTTGTCATATCAACGGAACGGAATTCAACTTAAAAAGGCATCTAAGTTTTTTCTCTTCTCGAAGTAACGAGCGCCTTCCTGCCTGCCTGCGTGCGTGGGTCTCGCGTGCGCGTGCGTGGGTCGCGCGTGCGCGTGCGTGGGTCGCGCGCGCGCGTGCGTGGGTCACGCGTGCGTGGGTCGCGCGTGCGCGTGCGGGTGGCTGTATGCGAGCAGTCTACACGGGGCCGCTAGCGCGAGTGTGTGCTGGCGGGATCAAAGCAGCCACAGCCTATACTGCAACCGGTCTGCGGGGTGAACGGTGAGGTTCGTATGGAGCATCATCTTAAGTGTACATTGTGTAGGATACAACCGTTTCTCTTTCTTTACTGGCAGGAAAACTTTACAAAAAAATCTACAATACCTCGGAAACACATTTATCTTATTTTTTTGCAAAAAAATAAAAATAAAGCAGTCTTCTGAAGTTTAAATGAAAGTTCTCAAAGATGTAACGGAGCCATCATTGGGTCTGTCTCTCTGTGTGGTCTCTTTGCTTGCAGACGTGTGTAAGTGTTTGTGTGTGTCTGTGTCTGTGTGTGATGGAGTTCATCACGAACGTGTCTCTGTATAATCCATGTTTTGTTCGTCTTGTTTAGTTCTATGTATGCAGTCTTCGGTCAACAAATCTTCGTCTTTCTCCCCTTAATCTTTCTCTTCTTAACGGCACTTGCAGACAAACTTTACAATCGCGTAGACTCTTCCGATGAGGGCGGACAACGTACAACGTACCAAGCACAGGGCTACACTGCTTCTTCCCCCCACCCCTTCTGCGCGATAGTACCGTCCAGCGATGCGCTAAAGTGTCAGTCGACTAATCGGAACGGTGAGTAAAAAAAAAAGAAAACTTACAAAATAATAATAACAACAATAACCCCCCCCCCCCAAAGAACATAACACAAGGGTCGGCTTGCCCACGTCGAGTTTACATGTGATCGCTCGCTCGTTTGGTTCAATAAATACGCGAAGATTGGCAAACACGTTGCAGGGAAGCAACGTCCCTGCTGGAAGTCGCAGTGGTGGCGACACGGAGAACTCGTCCACTCTTCTTGACAGCGCAGTCTTATCGAGAGGTTTGGGTTTTTACAAAAATAAACATTTCGTCGTAAAAAAATTACTTCTATTTTTTTTTCATCGTTTTTTATTCTTCTTCTTATTTCTCTTCCGTTTGTAGATCGGTATTGTTCATTCTCATCATGGCCCGCCACCGCCGTTGTTGCTGTTGTTGTTGTTGTTGTCAATGATAATTACAATGGAGGTGTCTTAGTTGTCTCATTTTCTCGGCTCCTGCTTCTGCATTATGCGGGTGTTGGGTTTATCTGATCGAGATGAGGCCACGCGATATCCTCTGAGACACCGTTCTCTCTCACCTCCCCCCCCCCATCTCTCTCTCTGCGTCTCTCTACACAGCTCGCACGCTCTCACACTGTTTACACACACACACTCTGCTCAAAGTCTCTCTCACACGCACGCTTTATACATTCTCTCGCTATGTACATTACTCCAGTTCTCTCTGCTGTCTGCTGCTTCCATCGCACTCGTTGCCTCTCTCTCTCTCCCCTGCGGTTACGTTTCCCTACTTCTCAAAGCCTTTCTCCCTCCCTCTCTCCCCCTCTCCACTCTCTCCTGCTGCACCCGTCCATTTTTGTTCAACCTCTGGGATCTCCCCTCCTCCTCCTCCACTCTCTATCTCTCTGCACTCTCCCTCTCTCCCCCTCTCCACTCTCTCCTCCCCTCCCTCCTGCCGCGTCCGTCCTTCTTTCGCGCCGCGTGCCACGTGCAGCTCGCGCGCGCTCCCTTCCTCGCGCATCTACCGCGGGCGGGAAGCCAACGAAGACGACGACTCGGACTTAGACGACGCAGACGACGATGACGACGATCCTGCGGCGGCGGCAGCGGCGGCGGCCCCCCCGTGCATGCGCTTGCTGCGGCGCGCGGCCCCCGTGGCGACCTGGATGAACTTGCGCTCGCGTTCCTCCGACGTGCGCTGGAAGCGTTTCATGAAGTGGACCTCGCGCTGGTGCTGGCTCGTCTGCGAGCCCTTGCGCGGCCGGCCCTTGCGCGTGAAGCCCATGTACCAGCCGCCGTACATGACCGACTCGAGCGCGGTGTAGTTGTTCTCCAGCACGATCTCCTTGAAGACGCAGTCGGTGTCTTTGCCCTCCTTCTGCACGCGCGGCAAGAGAGGGGGGGGGGCGGTTAGTGAGTTGAGGAGGGACGGGAGGGGGCTGTTCGGGGAGGATCTGTGTCGTTGTGATGAGCAGCAGCAGACGAGGTCAATCCACTGCTGGCTGGCTGGATGAAGGCCCCTACCCACGCCGCGTTGTGTCAATCATAGTGGGCGGGGGGGGGGTCAATTCAACCATATTTCACCAGGCTGGTTCGCACGGTTATTGAAGGTGCGTAAAAGGAGACCGGGACCCGTTCAGGACATCACTCGCCATCCGATGTTAGCCGTGATTGCGCGTCAACCACTGCGCCACCGCTCCCCCACCCACCCCACTCCCTGCAGTTGTGTGCTGTGCCGCTTTGCGAGAAGTCACCAATGGTGAGAGAAGTCCGCCACGACCGATGTTAAAACAACAACAACAACAACAAAAACCAAACACATCTATTCGCGAATCCAAGCACCTCTATGATCATCACACACACCGGGGGTGAGCGCTACAGCAGACTACAGCGATAGAATAAAATCGGCTGGTGTAACTCATTCTGTTCGCCGTTCAAACGTCGGGTTCACGTCCGTTCGTGACATTGACCGTGTTGCGGCCTTCTAGTTCCCGCACCTTTTGTATGCCCCCCCTACCCCCATTAAACAAGGTCAAGCTAGCAAGAAGGATCAGCAGTCGTGCATCGTACAGAAGGAGAGGATTTGAACGCAGATATGGGGAAGGGGGCAACCTTTGAAGTCACCTTAACACTCATCTAATGACACCCCCTACCACCCTCCACGCTCGCCCAGTACATAGGTCTGCCAGTAACAACGCGGTCGGTGCGGGGTGCGGGGGAGGTAGGTGGAGGGGAAGGGGGGTGGTGTGGCTCGCATTATTGACACGTTGGCCGAGTGACGGGCATGCAGACACCGACTGTTGGCGAACGCGCAAGCACGGCGTGATGGATGCGTGTTTGCGAGCGGGAATGCAACTCGCGGAAGCCAGGAATGTCACCGAGGGAAATGTGGAATTTGTCCGCTGCGGTTCTGATGAATTGCCGATGCAAGACCTTTGTTCATGTAGCGGAGATCATCACGGGGCCACAAAACGATTCTCATATTCAGGGAGGTGGTGGGGGGGGGGTGAGGCCGTGTGCTCAGTGGCAAAAGACGGGGAGCTCTGCATGCAGTTATGAGCTACCCGTCGGAGGCCGTCGGACTGCGAGAAGGGCTGCGTGCAGAACGAGAGAGAGCGAGAGAGTGAGCGAGAGGTGCGGGTTTACATAAAGCAAAGGTATTATAAAAAAAAAATTACGAAATGGATGAACGAAGCAAAGTGCCGACTACACCGAGCATCTTCTTGTTTCCACTGATCGTAAAAAAAAGAGAGGGAGGGAGGGAGGGGGGGGAGAATCGCCCATGTGATACGCGAATCGATATGGCGAATATGAAGACAGACACGACAATGATTTAACTCCGTTGACAGACAAATCGTCGCGATGTCAATGAACCCTCGAGCGTAAATAAATAAAGGACTTGCTGACACATGACGCTGAACTGATACCAATTCGCGGTGAGATTGTGTCTGAGAGAAAACGGTGGTGGTCGTGGTGATGGTGATGTTAATATGTTTACTCTGCAGACATGAGTAGGATATATGGTAAGTCGCTGCGGTATACACGCGCACGGCTATAGAGTCGTATCGAAGCGCACGCGTGTTCTTGAAGTGAAGAAAACGTGACGCACTTTCTATTGAATCTGTCATGTCCAGATACAGGCATCGAAGCGTCACGTCAGTCATGGGGGTTGTTTGACCATACTTCACCACGCTGGTCAGTGCGAGTTAGTGTTGGGTTGGGGGCGGGCGGGGGTGCAGAGGGGGGGCTGGGACACTGGCTTTATATACCACTCGCCACTGATGTTAGCCGTGGCTGAGAATCCAACTCAGGTGGTGAGGTTCACGGCTCATTCAGCTAAGCACGGCGCCACCGCTACACCACTGGCGTATAAAGTACGTACGTGTAAGGCACCGCGTCTATCGTGTAGGTTGATGAAGTGAACGAAACTAAACTATTTTATTTTACCAAGTAAAGCTCATCGGGATCGAACCCACGACCTCCTGTATACCAGGCGAGGTGGTTAACATCTCATAGCCACCGCGGCGAACCATGAACAGCTGGAGAAGTCGCGGGATGGGTACTAGTACAGCACGTGCACACACACCACGTGCACACACACACACACACCACGTGCACACACACACACACCACGTGCACACACACACACCACGTGCACACACACACAAACCACGTGCACACACACACAAACCACGTGCACACATACACACCACGTGCACACACACACACCACGTGCACACACACACCACGTGCACACACACACCACGTGCACACACACACACCACGTTCACACACACACCACGTGAACACACACACCACGTGCACACACACACACCACGTCCACACACACACACCACGTGCACACACACACACCACGTGTTCCCGCACCACCACCACCACCACGTGCGCCCATTCAACGGACATTTAAGGCAGCAGCATTTATCAAACAGTCCAAGTTCATCAACGAACACTCCCGCGGTCAAAGGTCAGCCCAAGCCACGACTGCACATTCGGCACAGCTTACAATGCAACGTCTACCGTCAGAAGCCGATGGAAGACCGTCCTGCGGATCTTTTCTGTGTAGAAAACACATTCCTTAATGCGACTGCAATCAGAGTGACTTATCTAGGTCACGTTGTTTTTATTCCACCAAGGTCAAAGGCTATCGAGTGAACGCAGCGCATCATGAACACCCGAGGTGCGTGCTCTCTTCTGATCAGAATGGGCTCTTACTCGCTCGACTCTGTATGGCCACAATTGTTCAAACGAGTACTGCGCTACAAACTCGTCGATTTGAGTTTTTTTTTTCCAGTGGTGCGTTATATCTAACCGCGTCCCCGCTTCCCTCTCCTTCCCACCCCGTCACCAACCCGCACTGAGCAGCGTGGTGAGGTACCGTCAAAATCACCCCCATGGGCAACACGGGGCTTGGGGAGGCATTCATCCAGCAGTGGATTGAGAAATTGCCGCAAAGTCGTAAATGTTTGATTCGCTCGTGTCGGTCGCCGTCAGCGATGGGGAGAGCGGGACGACTCCGCACTTTGCAGGCTGCGAGCCAGCGCCGTCACCGAAATAGGCGCTCGTCAACTGCCCTTGCTCCATACGCATGCACGATGCGTCAACCCGCGATTACGACTGCACACGCGGGTATCTCGTCGGTGCAGGGAGGCGGTAAGGAAACGTCGCAACTTTGGACAAGGGGCCTCAAGCGCTATCCATTGGTATCAAGACGAACCGGGTGCCCGAACGAATCGCGCAGCAACGGAAGTCACCCGTCACTCATCGGCGCGCCTAATGCTGGAAGAACGGCCCCCGATCTCCTTATCGTCCCGTGCGCTGTAGTCTGCGTGCAGCTCGCGTTCACTGGATGTGGACAGGCGAGCTCCTATACAAGTCACTGAATGCTGCGACGAAAGCGTGGTACGATGTTACGGGCGCATGTATCGTCTCTCTCTCTCCGCGTGATCTGTCTCCAGCGGTGATTTGTACGTGTCTCACTCTGCTGCTGCTGCTGCTTGTGAGACACCGTACGTGCTTGTGCCCGCGAGCCCCTCTCGAGAATACTGCCTAGGGCCTCTCTCGAGCACGAGTGCAAAAGGAAAATGCTCGCCGTCTCAACGGACCTTCAAGGGGTTTCTCCATCGATAGAGATCGCTCACTGAATGTGTGCAAGTCATCGATTCCGTTGATTTCCGCACCCCCGATTGGCACGTTTGGCTAGGTACGGCGCGAAAGAAGTTCGACGCACGTACGTACAAGTCAACGCCGCGTTATGCGAGCTATGTCGGTCACCTAAAGCCACGGACATTCCATTCACGGGGCACCACTCAGCACTGCGCTCCTCATACGCCATACATGGCCTTAACGAATCGCTAATATTAATATACGATGCAGTTAATCATTATTAGTAGTATGCCATATAATCCAAGTGTTATGATGGGACGTTTGGCTTGGATTAAGCGGAATTATGAGCGTAATAATGTTTTTTTTTATTAAGTATATAAGTGGCTTGCATTGTCCCTGCGTCACAGCTGCAAACGACTTTAGTATCCCCACTGATCAAATGACGAGGTCAAACGAGCGTTTGGAGGTGGGAAATCCACATTCCTCGGACGTAGGCAGAAGCATCAATAATTCCGATTCCCTGCGTGCGTGTTATGTAATAACGGTGCAGTCAAGTATGAGCAATAATTAATGTTACTAGCAACGACATAATACGACGAGCGACAAGATAGGGCTAGCAACAGTATCGCCATAGGGCTAATGGCAGGAAAGAATGCGAATAAAAACGCATGAAGTTTATGGGCGATTGTTTGACCATACTTTACCACACCGGTGACGGAGAGAGGGGGTGTTTGTGGCGGGGAGTGTGGCCTAGATCCATTTCTAATATCCTATCGCCGTCAATGTGAATCCGTGAACCGGGAATGAAACTCACTTGGGTAGCCGGGTTCATAGTGCACAGCGGCGTTGCTAACCACCGCGCCACCGCTCCACCCAAATAATGCCGCGTGAGTAGCAACGCGCCGCGCACGCGCATCGTAAACCGGTGCCCGCGTGCGGAACGTGCTTTTATCAGACGCAATCAATAATAACAGGCGTTCGTGCAAACACAGAACGCGTACAAAAAAGAACCGTTTCCACGTCCAGATTTAACATGTCCTACTTGCACTTGTGTTTTTTGCGTAAATCCCTAACCACAATCTACACGCCGGGACTGAAACCAACTCTCCAGCCAAACGAGTGCTAAAGAGAATGAGTGGATCAAGCGTGCACACACACACTCACACGCACACCCACCCAGACCACCCCGCCCGACACACACACACTTAACCACCGCGCCCCTACCACAGCCCACCTCCATCACCTCCTCTATCAATAAGCAATCTCGCTTATAACCACAGGTCACGTGGTCTGTTTCGAAACACGAGCGAGACGCGTGCGTGCGTGTGCGTGTGTGTGTACGCGCGTGGTGCTGCTGGACACCCACACGCACCCTCGTGTGCCGTGCCGGCCTTCCTAGGCGCTCGCTAACAGCACTTGCCCCAACAGTCCTGTTAAGACTACACACGGGGGGATCTTTGTCGCCATGTGCATTCGTAGGTGCCCGCCAATACCACTTTCCCCAACATTCTGTTCAGGCTACGCGGGGGATCTTTGCCTTTTTTATGTACCTGTGCTCGCGCACAACATCCGGCCGCAGGTAATATCAGCGGTAAGTAGTATCACCTGAACTTGTCCCGGGCCCTCACCTTAGGCCGACTCAGCTCTAAATGAGTTCCTTTGTATGATGTGTAATCATCAGCGCGAGCTAGACAAAGGCGACCTTAACAGGTGATCTCTGACAGCACATTCTATCCTCTCTTATTCGGGGGATCGTTGTGTGTGCGCGTGAATGAGAAGAGGTGAGTAAAAAGCAAATTATTGGCAGAGCACGTGGGCTGTGTTCGCGCGTGTATGTAGCACGTGTGCGTGCGTGTGTGTCCTTGTGCATGTATGTGTCATCTCCGTCAGTCGACCCGTGGCAGGCGGGCGTTCGACACTTCACGTGGCCTCAACGTGCACATAGCCTGGCACAAGCGACGTGGTGACGTCACCGCCACTTAGTGGCGAATGGCGGTTGTTGTTGTTGATGTTGATGTCTGTGTGTGGGAAGAGGCGTGCGGTGCATTACGTTCGTGCCTGTACGTGTCTGTACGTCTGTCTTTGTATGGCAACCCACAACATGTTGGTCTGTCCCGTGACCTGTCAGCGAGCTGTCGTCACTTGACGTGCCCTCCAAGTGCACCTAGCCTAGCACCAGTGTCAGGCTACACTTGCAGCCCACGTGCGCGGGCTGCATGTTCCGTGTGAGGTGCGTGGTTGCAGCTCTCACCTTGCCCACCAGCTTCCCCTTGTTGTTCATGCAGATGTAGTAGCCGGATTCTGCTCCTTTTATCCGCACGCGGCTGCCGAACGTGTCCGTTTCCACGGTCAGTTTGGCTGCAAAGAGAATGAAGGAGGAGGCGATGAGAACGAGTTGGGGGGGGGGATCTACACAGCCAAGGTTGCGGTGATAGCAGCAGAAGCAGCTGTTAAAGCAGCAGCAGCAGCTGTTAAAGCAGCACCAGCAGCAACCGAGGTGGCGTGGACAAGGAGGAGGAGAATATTACGATCGCGTTTGTTTGTGGTATAGACCGCGCATTTGCTAAATGTGTTCGACCTGATCATACGCGCGTGGTGTATTATATAATGAATTTAATCATTGACAGCCCTTTGTACATCCGCTTTTTCGGCCGAATGCATTGCCCAGCGGAGTGGTGTTTGCTCTGTTTACTTCGTGTTGTAAACGCAGCAATATTGCGCAGGCTGGATACGATAAGTGTGCTGTTGTGTACGATTGGTAGCTGCTGCGGTATTCTATGAATTGCGTACACAGACAAAGGTCCCCCATATAGCCTCAGCATACTTTTTGGGCAAGTGCTGTTAGCGAGCGCCTATGTAGGGGCAAGCGCTGTTAGGGAGTAGCACCTGTGAAGGACGGCACGGCACACGAGGGGGTGAGTGGTCAATACCACGCCCGGCCGCCATTGTCTCCCCAGTGGTGATGTTTACACACTGCACCAGGTACACATTTGAGGCTGAGTCGACCTAGGGGAGGCCCAGGATAGATAATGGTCACCGGTGTTGGCCGTGAGCGGGAATCGAACTCGGGCCGCTGGGTTCGCAGCGCAGCGCGCTAACCGCTCCACCACCGCTCCCCACCACACACACACACACTCACACGCGCGCACCGACAATCACACATTCCCAAACACAGAGGCACAAACGCACATCCATTCAACCACGCATGCACATAAGCGCACACAAACAAACAGGCGTAAACACACACGCACACACAAAGCCAGACCCACAACATTCAAACATCCATGCACCTGCCGTAAGCCATCCTTAACTCCTGCGCTCTCTCCTCCTCCACGAGAGCAGCACTCATTCCGCCCCACGTGCGACCCGCTCTGACCCGGGCGCCAATGCCCCCCTTCCTTTCCTCGCTGCAGCCACACGCGCAGCCACATTTCAGATTAAGCGCTCTTTGCCCTGCGGTTTGGAACCCTCCCTGCGTCGTGATTAGCTCCACGCGTGCACTTAAGGAGAATCATTGTTCGCCGAGGCCGTTCGCGCAAAACCACAAACCTTGCATGCGCTCGCGCGCGCGCGCGTGTGTGTGGACGTGTGCGCATGTTACAGGAAGCCTCTGTTGCCAAAGCGCGATGGTAAAAAAAAAGTTATTAAGACACTCCTCTGTCGTTGTGCCACCGTAAAACCACCACCACCAACTCGCCGACCCAATTGCGCCAACTAAATAATAAATTATGATTTGGGCTTGTATTGCCCACGCCGCGATAAGTTAGCGGGTGCGTGCGAGATTGGAGGAGCAGGGGAGGGGGGTCTGCTCCGGTTTCGTATAATACACAGAAGCAGTCTGTGGGTGAGCTTATCGGCGATCTTGTAAATGTCGACAGGTGAGATAGCAACTGTGGTGGTAGGGATTGGTGACAGCCCCCCGCATTTTCAATTCCACGCGTACGGTGTGGCCTGGCAGATGACTTCTACTGCAGTGGAAATAAATGTATTTTTTTTTTATACCGAGAAGAGCCGCATGCTTACAATCGGCTGCTGGTCTGTCGCACAGGCCGTGCGCATAACATATGCAAGAACGATGCTGTTGTCACCTTTGCCATGCAAAGCACGCTGTGACTTTCTTTCGTGTGTTTTGCCGTTCCAAACGCCTCCGGCGTGTATTTTGAGTCTGTATTTCTTCAATAAGAACGGTCATGAATTGCTGTTCCCCCCCCCCCCCCCCCCCTTCAAGCTGCTTTTTCCCCTTCGCACAATGTGTCAAACATGATATTTGTGAATTATCAGCGCTGAATTTCGTATAATAAACAAAATCAAGTTCTAAATCGAGAGTTTGTATTTTTGTGCAGTCATCAACTCGCTGCACGTGAGAATCCAGGTCGCTCACAAGTGGCTAAAACCCGGGATCGAACCCAGGTATCAGCGGGTGCTGGCTTTAGCGCATCTGACCTCTGAGCCACCCAGCCACCTTAGCTTTAAGAATGGTGCTGGACAATAATCTCCGCAAAGCATGAAGTGAGCATGGACCAACTTTGTCTGCTTTCGTACGACAAGCAACAGTTTGTGTCGATGATGTCAGTATTGAACGTTAAGGTCATTCAACCAATTCAAGGCGGCTGTAGACGCTGCACCGAATGCAGGAATATCGCCAGTGTGTGCATGGATGGCGCACTGAACTCAGAGGTCATGGCAATAAAATGTGATCTCATAACAATACTGGACCACTTAGTGCAATGTATTTGTTGGATTCTATAAGACAACGACCCTGCAATGAAAGCGATTACAATGACACACGTTACGATTTTATAACATAGCTATCATGCACCAAAGTGGATGGAGACTTCTGGGTATAATAAATCAATAAATAAGCAGGATTACATCTGTGTCTCATCATAAAAAAATAAAGTAACATTTGCGTCCACCAGCCTATACATGGATCCTCTGTGTGAACGTGTAATTTCTTCCTCGGGTGAAGGGCAAAATCATTTGTCAATCCTTTGGCCGCATTTTCCTACGTTGGTAAGAGTTGGTATTTTGCCAAATTTGCACCTAACCCACTCTTAGCAGGTGAAATTAGTGAGATGGGGCTTAGGAACTAAACAAATTGGCCAGATTTGGTGTGTGTGTGTATGTACGTTGAACTTCAGTCACACCGTACGCAAACAACCGTGCTAATCAGCGGTGCGGATTTTCCGACTAGTGCAAACGCTCACGTGTTTAACGAGTGGGAGGAATTGTACTGAGATATCAATATGTCTGGCAGCACCATTGATGTTGTCGCTCAAGACTGTACCATGAAGCAGCCAATCAAACAATTAGTGAGCAGGCCTGGCTTGTGCCGATGAGACTCCAGTACAGTTGAATCGAGTACGTGCCCTGCTTACAAAAACAGGCTGCTGAAAAAAGCATTGCTTCATAAGACGCACAGGGTGACAGACGTACACATTCTTTATTTACTTTTATACGGAGAGCCAGACGACTGCCACTTTGACGATTTCTATTTACTTTCAGATCTATCCAAGAACTAACTCAATCATAAAATGATCGCAGGGATAGACCAATCCAACGTCATTGACTACTTTGTTATCAAAACGATTTCGTGTGCGCGTGGTGGGTGGAGTGGGGGAGGGGGGTGAGTGGCTCAGTGGACCTGACCACCCGAGTTCAATTCCCGACCAAGGCTCGCATCAGTGGCGAGTTGCATCTCAACCGTCACGCATTTCCCTCCCCCAACCCTTACGTCCATGTACCCAATAATCTATCTTCACAAATTATTACTCGAATTCACAAATTATTTCATTGCAATTCTTCACATCTATTAACCCCCCCCACCCACACCAACCTCGAACGCAACCTCGATCAAACCGATCGCACGTGCAATGTTATGACGAAGCGACGAGGTCCAAACGCTCGTAAACTTTTGAGACGTTCGCTTGTTAAGCGGAGCAAATTGCAAATTGTTTCCGCGACGATGTGTCCGTGACCCGCACAGCGCGTCTCAACGCCGAGTGATGCTCACGCACTCCGCGTTGGGCAAATGAACACAACACACGGCGTGCAACGAGAGTGCGAGAGCGTGGGTGTGTGTGTGTGCGCACGCTTGCTTGCGCGCGCCCGTGCGTGTGTGTGCGTACGCTTGGGGGCAGGGATTGTGTCGGGCGCTGCGCTACGAACCTCGGCCACCAGAATTCGATTCACGCTCACGGCCAACACCGGTAACGATTATCTGAACCCGCCCTGGGCCTCCCCTAGGTTAACTCAGCCTCAAATGAGTACCTGGTGTGGTGTGTAAACATCGCCACTGGGGAGACAAAGGCGACCGGGCGTGGTGCTGTGTTATGGCTCTAAGGGCGATATTTGTCTTTGTGCTTGTTAGCGTGTGCTTCTTTGCGAATATGTGCACGTGTATGCATACATGCATGTGCATACGTGTGGGTGTTCGTTGTGTGTGTACATATGTGTGTAGCGCCAACCAGTCAGCACGGTTGGCTACGTGCCGTGCGAAAGAGGTTCGACATTTCTGCATAAAACAACGCCAACTTCACTGTGCATTGAACTGCCCATACTACGCAAGTTGCTAAAACGCACGTGTTGGCGGTGCTGGTTTGTGCTCTATACCCACGGCAAGTCGCCCCTCTTCACGTCCTGCATACGGGCTCTGGGTGGTTTTTCTATTGCACCATAAGCGCTGCTCGTGCGTGTTTATTGCGGGCCGTATACACCGCCGCACATCCCTCAAACAAGTTACACGTGCTCTCACATTACAGCCCGGCGTTAAACGATTCGCCTGGCGAACCGTGTTGCGCAATGCGTGAAGAGGCACCCACGCTACCTATTATTATTACTATTATTGCGACAACTCCACGCTGTGTACACAATACGATTCACAATTATATATCGCAAGAGCAGTGCTTGTCTTTATTTTATATACAGAAGAGAGAGAGGGGCAGGCGAGCCTGTAGGCAGAGGAGGGGGAGTCAGGTCTTGATTGAGCCTGGACTCGGACAGGGACAGGGAAGCGACAGCACCGACGGCTGTGCGAAAGCAGTGCCAGACAATGGGGGCAGCATCGGAGAATGAGCGATATCCCGCCTACCTATCTACCGCCGAGCGAACGTTGACTGGGGGCTTCGATGGCAAGCCTTGGTTGGCTGGAGCGGAGAGTGTATGGAGGGGAGTAGAGTGAGGTGAGAGGGGAGAGGTAGGAGAGTGCGTGGAGGGGGATAGAGATGAGAGGGGAGAGGTAGGAGAGTGTGTGGAGGGGGGTAGAGATGAGAGGGGAGAGGTAGGAGAGTGTGTGGAGGGGAGTAGAGTGAGGTGAGAGGGGAGAGGTAGGAGAGTGTGTGGAGGGGAGTGGAGTGAGA